AGAGAGAGAGAGAGAGAGAGAGAGTCGAACAAGAGATGAGGAAGAAGGGAATGAGTTGTTCAATTTATAAGAAAAAAGGGTAAATTACACTTACCTCCCTTAAGTTTTCTAACAAATACAAGGGCCTTCTCCATGGGTTCAATAGTTACAGAAATCTTCCCTATTTTAACTAACAATATCAAGATTCTCCCATTTTTTAACTGTTATTCACACAACGAACAGAAATTACTGATGTCATCAAAGATATATGTTGAAATGCCATAATGTCCTCAAGTGTCTTATTGAGAATACCCAAATTCAAACAAAGCAATACCCAGTTCAATTGATTTTTCAAATCTCATATATACGAAGATATATATATATATATATATAAACATGCAAACATATTTTGATTTCTAACAAAGAAAATAAAATCCAATTAAATTAATTTCTAAATTTGATTAATAGATATATGTATATATGTACACACATTCAAACATGGGAACAAATATTTTTCTTCTTCTAATTGATACATATATATATATACAAATTTATAGACAAATATATGTATATATACAAATATATAAACATATGAATAATTTGTATATATACATATATTTGTCTATAAATTTGTATATATATATATATACACTTGTTTGGATTTTCAACAAAGAATAGAAACTGTAGGGACATATTTTTTGGATAACAACACGTGGCCAAGGTGGCACTGAAGTGCTAGCCGAGGTGCCACGTGTCCTGGTCTCGGCGCCGAGGTGATCTCGGCTAGGCCGAGGTTGCCTGCGAAGATACCGGAATCCGAGATGAGCGGATAAGAGATAAGAGTCCTAGAATGAGGGAGGACCTCAACCTGGATAAAGATAGAGCTCTTAAGGAGTTTATCTTTATCTATTGGAGAGTCCAAGATGAGCATTAGGCCAAAGTCCAAAAGAAGTTAGGCTTCTACAGGGATCAGGTTAGTGTTGGCTATAAAAGTAAGGCACCCTCATGGGTCTAAGGTACGCTTTTTGTATTCTGACTAAGTGAGTTAAGCACTATTTGCTATCTTTGAGAGATAATTGAGTACTGACTTGATCGTTGGAGTGCCCCCGGGTGGAAGAACCACCGCCAGAGTCTCATCTTTCTGTGACAGGTCGTTTGGGCGCAATCTATTCTGCCGGTGTTCTCCAGCTGAGTACCTGTTTAGCTGTGGTGTCAGAAAACAACACCCACAATTTGGCACTGTCTATGGGAAAGAAAGGAGAATAGATGGCCAACGATGGACAAAGAGAAGGTTGGAGATGACATCCCTACTGGAAGTGGTAAACACATTGACCCTAACGTAGAAGAGGATAATTGCAACGAGAAAACTCGGGATCAGAATCCCGAAGAGAAAGATGTCGGCCAGGAGGGCGACGTACCAAAGAAGGCAGACTGAGGCGGGTATTATAATGAGGACGACCTCCAGGTATGGAAAGATAGATGCCAACGGAGGGACGGCGAGATGAAGGGAATGGCGACCAAATTGGTGGACCTGCAATTGGTCATCAAGTTCCTGATACAGAACAACGTCATGCATCCACCATTTTCGCTGCAAGACACGCCGATTCCAGTGGCCAAGAACGATGCCCAGAAAGTGGTGCAAAAAACAATCCCTGTAGTCCCGCAGCACACCAGGAACAAAGAACACTCTCATCGGCCTTCACGGGAGGTCAGGTGAGGAGAGTCAATGAAGGAGAGTCTCGAAAGACACATCACACCAAAGAAGTCGATACCAAAGAACATCGGCATGTTCAAGGGAAGGAACTCTGTTTCGACACAACTAATTGAGAGAAGTCCAAGAGGACTCATAACGACACCGGGAGTAACGCGCCAAAGAGGCTCAAATCCGTTGATAGCCGAGCTCCTGGACGGACCAAGGAGGATCTAAGGGATTACCTCCAGAGGAAGTGACAAGATGCCGAAGTAACCTCTCTGGTCAAGCCGAGAACACCGTTTTCAACAGAATTGGACAAATTTAAGGCCCTGAAAAGGTTTCACATGCCGAGATTCCAAATATACGACGGTAAGTTTGACCCTAACTTTCACGTCAGCTTGTACCTGAACTCAGTGGCACTGTATATCGGGAACGAGCCGTTGTTCTACAAAGTGTTCCCCTCGTCCTTTGGGAAAATCATATCAGACTGGTTTTACAAGTTGCCGAAAGGAACTGTGAAAAGCTGGGAAGGCCTGGCCGAGATGTTCGTTGCCAGGTTTGTAACAAACAAACTACAGCCATTGAGGGTGGACTCCCTGATGGCTCTAAGAATTGGCGAGGATGAAAGCCTCAAGGCTTATGCCAAGAGGTATT